CCAAGAGGCCAAGTTTTAAAGTCTCTTAGTTTAAACCAAGTAACGTCTGGCTTGCTCTGCTCGTCAAAAGCCCTGCAGGCTAACAGGTAAAATGAATTGCCATTCAAATGACTGCTGAGCCAACCCTGGACAAAACCTTAGCAAGAGAGAGGTGGTTCACACCTGTAATCCTAACACTTTAGGAGGCTGAGGCCAGTGGACTGCTTGAGCTCAAGAGTTCAAGACCAGCCTGAGCAAGAGTGGGAACCCCAGGTGCTACTAAAAATGAAAAACTGAGACAAGAGGATTTCTTGAGCTGGAGTTTGAGGTTGCTATGAGCTATGACACCTCAGCACTCTACCAAAGGCAACAAAGTGAAACTCTGTTCTAAACAAACAAACAAACAAAAAACCTTACTAGGATTCTTAAACATTCTAGTAGCAAATTAATTTAATTGGTAGTACATTAAAAAAAAAAACAATAAAACACAGAGCACATAGCAAAGGCAGTTTCAGTTCTACATTTAAGTTATTTTTGTGCAGTTTCAACTCAAACCATCTAAATAGATCATTTCAAAAAAGTATGCAAGCTGGTAATTCAGAAGCATACCAAGTGGAAGTCTTTGTCCTGAGTAGTTCATAAGGAATCATGCTAGGAAGACAAGACCACACCAATGAAGCAACAGCAGAGAGAACATGCTACACCCAGCCAGCAAAGGCTCAGAGAAACACAGCAAGCAGCCAGAGTACCCAGGCAGGGTCTCAGCTCCTTGTGGGGTCTATGAACAAAACAGATTTAGGAAGAGGGGAAGGGACCATGTAGAAAAGAGGAAGCTCATCTATAAAGGGACTATGTAGTGCCTGGCACTTTAGGAGACTATATCCCCAACCTACCAGAGCTTACTCAGCAGGGTCATTAAGATGTAGGCAGACTCCACACAGGTAAGACCAGAGACTTGCTGGGGAGGAGGGGGTGGAAGAACAGATAGCACATGCTCCCTAAATCTGGTAGGGCAGACCTCAAGAGAAGGAGGAGGAAAGAAGAGCCAGAAAGCAGAGACAGAGAGGAGTGGGGGGCCCCAGCACATGCGTCCAATGGCAAGGTCCACATTATACATATGATTTGCACAGTGCTAAGGGCAAGGAGAAGGGGACTAGACTCCTGAATTAGACTCAAAATTTGGTGATTAAAAAAGTGAAAAAAGGGCCGGGCGTGGTAGCTCACTGTTGTCCCCGCACTGTGGGAGGCCAAGGCGGATGGATCCCCTGAGCTCAACTGAGTTCGAGATCAGCATAAGACCAGCATTAAGACCAGCATGAGCCGGAGTGAGCCAGAGTGAGACCCCGTCTCTACAAAAAAAAAAAAAAAGCCAGGTGTTGTGGCAGGTGCCTGTAATCCCAGCTACTTGGGAGGCAAAGGGCATGAGAATCGCTAAAGGAAGAAAAAAAGAAAAATTAAAAGAAAAAAAAACCCTTCAAACTAAGATGAGTGAAAGCCAGCTGAAATTGAAAGCAAAAATTAAAAAAAAAAAGTTAAAAAAGGCTAAGGGGGTAGCTCATGCATTCTCTCATCCTAGCATTCTGGGAGGCTATGGTGGGACAATCCCTTGAGCTTAGGAGTTCAAGGCCAGCCTGAGTAAGAGTGAGACCCCATCTCTACTAAAAATAGAAAAAATTAGCCATGTGTGTGGCAGGTGCCTATAATCCCAGCAACTTGGGAGGCAGAGAAA